GTGGCATACACTCTTATTACCATTCTTGGATAAAAAATCAGATCAGAATAAAAATTATTATTCTGCATCTTCTCTATAAAAATGAATGTTTGTCTGTCTGTCTGTATGTCCTCGATAAAATCGTAATCTGCTCGACTGGTTTGGATAATTTTTTTTTGTTTATTCCGTTATAGTTCAAGGATGGTATAGGTAGAAAAAAAATTGAAAAAATCAAATATGACAAAAATTGGAAAAATCAAATATGGCAGACGAGTTTTGTAATTATGGACCGATTTTATTCAAAATTGGTAGCTGGGGGTTTTCGGGGTCGGAGATTATGATTCTTTCGTCAAAATTAGGAAAGTCAAAATGGCGGATTCAATATGGCGGACAAGTTTTGTGATTATTGACCGATTCTATTAAAAATTGGTATCTGGGAGTTTTTGGGGTCGGAGATTATGATTCCGTCGTTTAAATTAGGAAATTCAAAATGGCGGATCCCTCATGGCAGACGAGTTTTTTAATTATGAGTAGATTCAATTGAAAATTGGTATCTGGGGGTTTTCAGGGTCGGAGATTATGATTCTTTCGTCAAAATTAGGAAATTCAAGATGACGAATCCAATATGGCGGACGAGTTTTGTAATTATGGACCGATTCTATTCAAAATTAGTATCTGAGGGTTTTTGGGGTCGGAGATAATGATTTCGTCGTCAAAATAAGAAAATTCAAAATGGCGTATCCAATATGGCGGACGGGTTTTGTGATTATGTTCTCATGTTTGTCTATATGTCCGTTATATAATCGTTAACGGCACGACCGATTTCGATGATTTGATGACTCGAAATAAATTGAATATTTGTGTAATGTCTTTCCTTTAAATTTATTTTAGTTGATGGCGAACCAACGCGCGCAGGGTACAGCTAGTTATAATATATTTGTCTGATAACCATCATAATAATATTACCTATATCAGGAATCTGTTATACAAAAACACTTGAGATATGATGAAAGCATGAGTTGAAATATGATATGTTGAAAAGTTGAGAAGTAGAACATTAATTCTTATGAAGAAAATTGGAAAACTTGAATAAGAAAAAGTATGAGATGTTCATGTTCAGAAAAGCTGAAAAATATGAGCTTTGAGATATTGGGAATTTGAGGCAAAATGTGATTCAGGAAGACCAAAAGGTTGAAAAGTTGAGAAATTGAAAATTTTGAGATATCGAAAATGTTGAAAGACAGTGAAGTCGTGTGCGTTGTAAACCTGAAAACTTGAAAATTTGTAGAAAAACATAATAGGTACTTAAGAATTGGAGAGAGATAAAGGGTTGAAATAGTGGATAATGAAATGAACAACAAACAGGTTGAAGAATTGAAAAGTTGAAATGTATGAGTATGAATGGTTTTGGAAGTTGAAAATTACAGAGAAATGGATTGAGTATATGAAAAAAATTGTACATACTCGTGAAGATCTTATCTATGTTCCTGTCGTCTTACTTTTTCGAAATTCGATTCGGTTCTGCCGGAAAAAAAATTGGAAAATCATCCAAAAACACGTTATTTAGCGATTTTTTTTTAGAAAAAACTGAATCAAATTTCGAAAAAGTGAGACGATAGGAACATAGATTGGATCTTCACAAATATGTACTAATTTTTTCAACAACTCGAAATGAAAAATTAACCTAAAAAGTTAGGGACTACGAAACCCTTGCATGGCAACAATTTGTATACAGAGAGTGGCGCCGCCTCGGGCGCCGCTCTCAGAATTGATAGGAATTAACTTTTATGAATGGAGATGAAATATACATTCCTTATTTGCAATGTTTACGAGGGTCTGGCATGTGTAGAAAATACAAGTTTCATAATTTCAGTGGGATATCAAATTATCATTATTTCATATCATTTCAGACTGCTTTAAAATACCTATAGAAATCCAAGAATATACGGCAATGTTATTACGGTGAGGCTCTCACAATTAACGATCATATTTCTTGGGTTCTCGAAACATGGAAAACCTAATTATTACCTATTTTGAAAAATATAACGTTATCAACGTTTATTTACGCGTATAATTTGAATTAGGATTACCTCGGAATAATGACGGTCGAATCAGAAACAATTGTGGAAACGATAGAAAATCTACTGCCATCCAGTTCTAGGCATATCAAAAAAATTGTTATCGCAATAAAAAAGGATGCGCTTTTTTATCGGTATCAAAGTTTTTTTCACGACGACTCATTAGCGCTGCGGTTTGACACGCATCATCTTCTGACCCTCGCCGCATGATTTACGACCTTTTATAAAAAATAGGTACCGCTGTTTGCTGCCAATGGAAAAGAATTTATGATTTGTGCACAGTGGGAGTATTGCGATTTTGAAATATTTTCAACAATGAGGCAGGGGCCGTATAATTTGCTGACCTATATTAGAGAATGCTGACCGAGCATTTCTGATTCGATTTTTTTTTTCAAATTGCATATCTGAATAGAATATAGATATATAAATGCCACCAGTGAAATTATTATTATTCTCAATTTATTTTTTAATTTTTGGTTATCGCTAGCTGGATTTTTCGATTTACTCTCAACGAGCCTTTTCATTTGATACCCATATTGTAGAAGTATATTGAAAATAGCTATTCCGCCATCTTGGATGGTTCGCCATATTGGATTTAGAGTAACGTCACATTATTTCTCGAATTACTATCAACGAGCCCTTTTATTTGATACCCATTTTGTAGAAGTAGATTAAAAATAATGACCATTATTCCGCCATCTTGGATGGTCCGCCATACTCAATTTAGAATGACGTCACATTATTTTTCGAGTTACTATCAACGAGCCTCTTCATTTGATACCCATATTGTGAAAGTATATCAAAAATAGCTGTTCCGCCATCTTGGATAGTCCGCCATATTGGATTTAGAATAACGTGACACAACTAATCGTGCATTGTCATCCAAACTGAACGCGTATACAAAATTTCAGCTCAATCGGTTGAGATTTCTACTTCAAAATTGAGTTCAAAGATTCCACCCGAACATACATACATATACATCCATACAAACATACAATGCAAGTTAAATGAAAGCTTTTGAAATATTTAAGGACAGATAATAGAAAAATGGAATATAGGTATTTCTGAAGAATGGCCTTTGATGATATGATTGTTCTCTCATAAGAATGATATATAAAATATATGTTTTCTACAAACGTCAAAAAATGACAAGGTTCGTGCATTGATAACAAATTGCGAAGTGACACTTTTTTCAGTTTCCTACGTTACCATGATACCTTGCACAGAACAATGCGCGAAGTAAAACAGTGCGCGAAGTACCTACTTCGCGCATTGTTACGTAAAATATATGAGATATTTATATTTCAACCTCATAGTCCTCAATCGAGCAAACATCCACGAAATCATATATTTCTGGATGTTCAACAATAACTTTGTTCTATCTCTTGGAACGAACGAAAGGAAATTCCTATTTGGTATGCTCGTGGAACATTGTGCGTAACTAGGGAAAGGGGAAGGCCTTTTAAGCCAGTTCAACACTATTTTTTATGCCAAGCTAAGCATATTTTTACATTAGAACTATATTTTTTGACGTTCGTAGAAAAAATGTTGTTTGCAACGCGAGCGCGAAATACTTTGGTCATCTCGACTATTTTTTTAACTTGGCTACGCCTCTTTGAAAAAATCAGATCTCGATCACCAAAGTAGCATTTCGCGCTCTAGATACAAAAATAACTATTATGTCTCACGACTGTTTTGTAAAGTGAAATAATCTATTGAATCTCGTTTCGTGAATACTATTTATCAAAAACTTTACTATTCATTACAAAGCTCTTCCGCCATATTGAATCCACTATCTCGAATTTTCTATAATTTTGTCCATTAATCTTTAACCTCGAAAACTCCCAGATACCAATTTTGAATAGAATCCGATTATAAATTACAAAACTCGTCCGCCATATTGGATCCACCATATAGAATTTTTGACGAAGGAATCATAATCTCCGACCATGTAAACCCCCAGATACCAATCTTGAATAGAATCTGATCATAATCACAGAACTCGTCATATTGGATTCGCCATCTCAAATTTCCTAATTTTGAAGAATTTTTGAACTTATTATCCCTTATTTCAGATGAATACAATAAAAAATCAAATATCACGAAAATTGTTCCAGCCGTTGTTGAATTAAAAATGGTGTAACTATCACGAATTTGGACTTCCTTGTATATAGACAGATCTAAAAATTCTAAACAATCTAAATTCATCGACTGTTTACCCTAAAAACAGTGCCCCATATCCAAATGCATCTTCAGCTTCTAAACTCTGGAGTTCTCGATCGATTGAATTTTCAAAATTTTTACTTTCTCACACTCATGTCCATTTATTTATTGTCAACTCACGTTCTTGAATTTTCCAGCTTCACATAGGTAGGCACAATAACACATCATGAGTAATCATAATTCGAGCACAATGGAAAACTAATAAAATAACATAATACCATAGATTCATAGATTAAGGATTGAAATCTCTTATACATACCAAGGAAGTCTTATACTAAAAATAATTGTGGTTGCAGTATCGTAGATTAATAATAATCTACATGTACCTACCAATACATTAGAAATCCAACAAAAACTAACATTTGACAACTCCGCTTCTATACGCTGAATGCCATGTTACAGAAATCTGTAAAAAATCGAATTTGCGACCACGCGCGGTAATTCGCAATAGCGGCGATAGATGGTAAAAATTCGGGGGTCCCAACTAAATCCCAAACAAGCGTTACCGTCTGAATGCATGGGCGGTGTATATCTAGGGGAGTCGTTAATCTATGCCTCGTTGTTTACAAAACATTATTTCACTAAATGACCAGAACAACAATGATCTGCCATTCACCAAAATCACCAAGATGACTCTTATTGTTTCATTGGGACATTGAAATGAATTTCATTCCAAGTAAGCCACTTGTGTGATTCGAAGCCCTCTGCTGATGTAGTATGATGTCAGTACCTTCCAAGGTGAGTAAGTTTTAGATATGATTTGCCTACCCAAGGCCTACCCACATGTCTAGGTGGAATTCATTTCAGTTGTATACCAATTAAATTTATAATCATTGAATAATCATTCATAAATCATTGACCACATGAAATAGATATCTGCAAATAGATGATAATGTTTTGGTTCTTTATTCTAGCTAGGTTTGAGATTATTTTTCAGTTTTTTAAGCACTTGTGATTCTTTGTATCCAACAAGGAAATTCAACTCTGCAATTTTAGTGACAATATTTGTGAATGTATCCTGTGTTTTGTGTCATATTTTTATTATTAATATAGGTATGCTACTATGGTTTGTAGTTTGAAATTGAATTTTTATTCCAGCTGGACTTCAAGAGAGGAAAATCATCAATTTTGATTTCAAAAGCATACTAGGTACAAAAATATACTGAAGAGACCAGGTTTTGATTCCCGTGTAGTGAAGATCTGCTGGTTAGGCCAATATGAGAGTTTTCGCAATAATGACAGGTGAACACTTGTTTTGTATACTTTAATTTGCACTGAAATATTATTTATTCTAGTTGTAGTCAGCTCAACTAAAGATTTTGATCTCGATTTTGATGGAAAAATGGTTATTGGAGAGAACAGTAAAAACAAAACAATGATCTCCCATGAAAATGAATGATAACTTTTCTATGCATCACTTCCAAGAGATGGAATCTGCAGGTAAAAAAGAAATAAATGAAGGAGTTATGGAAGAAAACCATGCTGTGATCATCATGATAACTGGGAACGCCCTGTATATTCTATTTCATATTTTTATTTTACATATATTTTGAGGTTTGTTTAGTAATTTGTCAATGGATTGGAATAAAGTTTACATTTTTACTCCTTTTGTTTCACTGTTTTGAATGCCACTCCATGTGTTTAGGGGTATATTCATGGATTTTTTGATTTCAACATTTGAAAATCCAAGAATATATTCTAAACAATATGGTGTTGCATCCGAAACTGATTCAAATACTGGTGGAACCAGTATAAATTTATGGATGATTTGAGATGGAGCTAATGCAGAGCACAGATTTATCATATAAACGTCTCTGGCATGCTCATGGAGAGAGCTATGTAGATACATAGTCATCACTGTGATCTCACAGGAGCATATCTGTTTCAAGTCTGATGTTGCATCACTGATATAAGTCTGTGATTTCATTTGAGGCGGACATTCATCTATGCTATATCTCTGATGGGAACATCTCTGTGATGAAACATGGAACATTTGAAATGCAGCAGGGATAAAGCTGCGGCATGTTTTGGTCAACTGGATCAGAAACCGATTAAGAAAGTAATTTCATATCAAGAAAATATTTTTATGTTCAATCTATTTTTAATGCATTTTTTCATTCAGGGGAAATGGAATCCTAATGCAAAAGTTCATTTTGACAGAAGGCTTCAGAAAAGTACCTCGAAAATGTTTTTTTTACAGCGATTCAATGTACGCAAGACGTGTTGAAAATGTTTTGTTGTGTCCATGAAGAGGCTTTAAAAAGAACTAGGGAGAAGGTAGTTTTGTGACATATCAAGGACTTCTCGATAATTGCCACCTGCGGCGGACATTAGCTGTTCTATAATAGTTTTATTCATGTGTGAACAGAACATCGCAGTGGAGGTTCAATGTCTCGAAATCTCGTACTTTTAACATCTCTGAGAGAAGAGGCTTTAAAAAGAACTAGGGAGAAGGTAGTTTTGTGACATATCAAGGACTTCTCGATAATTGCCACCTGCGGCGGACATTGGCTGTTGTATAATAGTTCTATTCATGTGTGAACAGAACATCGCAGTGGAGGTTCAATGTCTCGAAATCTCGTACTTTTAACATCTCTGAGATGTTTTTGTGCTCGCTGGGCATGATGTCCTCTCTGACACTGATCGACCTGATCCATGTGTCATCGAACAAAATCAGGCCTACACCATAGTGGAAGGAGATCCACTATGGCCTACACCGAATTCATTGAATGACGACACTGAATTGCCTTGTGGTTCACAGTTAGCAGTCTCAAGTAGAACACACTGACATTGTTGATAGGATTATCGAAATGGAAAGGCCTCTCATTGCTTCTACTAGTGGAATGCGTGATAAATATTAAGGTAGTATAAGAAACCAATAAAAAAGATTGAATTTCACAACCAAAAAGGCGTCAGATTTGTCTAATTCAGATGAACTGACGAATTCGAGTTCGGTACGGATAATTTAGAGATTGATGTATTTTTTTTTTGTTTTAAGTTCAGTATTGGTACAGTGACAGTGATTCACTATATGTAGGCCGTCTCGATTCCCAAAATATTAGAGAAACCGAGCACGAAATTAACTTTTTGAGAAATAAAGGAAAGGGGTTCGTATATTTACCCAACATACTCGATCAAAGTGCAGTGCAGAAAGATATGATATTATGATGAAACTAACACCGCTTTCTAAAACTGGAGGAAGCGATCGACAGAGTGTTTTCCTTGTACTATTTTATTGGCTTTGATAATTTACATTATTTTGCTCGTCACGAAATATACATATTATACCTCACTCTAGTTGATACTTACCACTGGATGTGCATGTATGTTGGACCCTCCCTATGAAGAACTTTGCGAATTTTCGAACAGTTTGAAAAATATATTTTGATAAATGAAAACTTACCCATTCCTACCCATTCCTACCCAATTCCCCCTATACATATATAAAGGAATACCTACATTGAGAAATTGCATTCTTTTTGTGATGAAGATATTAATTCTACCTCGGTTTATTTAACAGAAAACAACTATACTTTCTGTATTGAACACACAGGATAAGAATGTTAAAGCAAAATCTTCTGCCAGGTTTCAAGAGCATTTAATTCATTCAAAATCTGAAGGGTGTGTATAATTTGCGAACTGGAATAAAATGTTGCGGACTGGCTATTTCCATCAAACTTTTCGATGTTTTTATTGCATATCTGGATTCAGCTCACCAATATACACGATGAGAAGTTTCAGTTTTTTTTTCTATGATCCCCCTGGGGAGCACTTTACTCTTGTGTTTTTTCATAGAATCTTGCGGACTGGGTATTTTTGAGAGTCAAATCATCTCGATTTCACCATGAATCGATTTATCTCATGGAAATACACAATGAAAAGTTTTTGAATTTTTTCCCTGGCCCTCCTTGGCAGCACTTTGCTCGTGTGTTTTTTCATAAAATCTTGCGGACTGGGTATTTTTGAGAGTCAAATCATCTCAATTTCACCATAAATCCATTTACCTCATGAAAATACACGATGAAAGTTTTCGATTTTTTCCCCAGTCCCCCTGGGGAGCACTTAACTTTTGTGTTTTTTCATAAAATCTTGCGGACTGGGTATTTTGAGGGTCAAATCATCTCAATTTTAACATAAATCGATTTATGGCATTTCTTGTGCTATAGTTCCGAAAAATGAGTCAATAATACCGTCTCCGAGAAAGAACTGCAAGTCCTTTTATCTTCCATTCGACTTCGCGGTAACGTATATCAGGTACTTAACAATCACTAAATTCCCAATTTTTTGAGGTCATATCACAGAATTTGACTGACAGAAGTGACATCAGATATTTGATTACTTCAAAAGGATGATATAGATGCATACAACGCAGGTGTCCCTATAGGCGACTGAGATTAAGATCGTAGCGCCAGAACGGTGAATGTCGGTACTACTCTATGGGCCATTGGCGGATTGTTTACATTGTTTGGTAATGGTGTTTATGTTCATTTCGTTTTGAGTTTTCGACCGTTCAGCTTTGTTATTTGTCAATTTTCGAACTTTGTATTTTCCAGCGGTATATTGTGTTCTGATTGAGCACTATATTATCTCTGTTCAACATTAGATAACGTCCCTACCTCTAGTTGAACTTCATATATACCAACATACATAAGCTGTAAGTTTTTATCATTATTGAACAAGAATTCTCATTAAAACCTGTGTGGGATGTTGATTTCCATCAATTCGAATATATGGCTGGGATATTCTCCTGATAGCATGATATTTTTAAAAGAAAATCCAGCATACTTTTTGAGAATAAAATGTTCTTTCAAAGGTGAATTTAGGTATGCAGTTTCTACTTGACTTTTTACAACATAATCACATCAAAACCCTGATTGATAAAATTCTTCACTGTTCAAAAATTCTACTGTTCATGAGTAAAGATATATTCAGTTTAAAAATTGTTTGTTTTTTTACCATCACCCCATGAAGTAGGTATTATATTTATAATAGACATACATTTGAGAATATATATGAGTACATTTTCAGTGAAGTGTAAAAAACAATCTCTCATTAACCTCAGACACTTTTTCCGAACTTCAAGCTATGAATCCACACCTTTCTCCTACCGATCACTTCCTTATTTCCCAAATTATCAGTTTCAAATGCTAACTTAGACTGTCCTGATTTTTTAAAGGATTGAAAGCTATACTCGGGATTTTTTCGCTCAAGGTGAACAATCAGGTACACAACAATAATGACTCATGTTTTTAAACGTTTATAGAAGTTCTCAAACAAAATAATAGACAAATAACACACAACTACTTCTTATACAAAATACACGCAAACTAATGTAAACAAAGCAATCAATGGCCCATACGTTAGTTATATTAGACAACGGTAGAGGGCGTACTCCTTAGCATGAATCGCCTATACTGTTAAAAACTTAAAAATTTCACGTCGATAATTTTCAGATTCCAAAATAATGTAATATCTTCTCAATATTATGATTCGACCTTTCTTCTGTCACAGAAAAAAATAGTGTATTATACAAAAATATTAGATTTTAGCTCACGGTTCTTTGTATCCCTCCGCTACGCGTCGGGTTTCCCTTGTGTAATAAATGAAGAAATAAATAATGATTGGTACTTTATGAGAACTAGAGTAACTGTAGTTACAGCTATTTGTCCGAATATCGGACGACTAGCCACTACCTAATGAAATAACCTTAGATCTTCCTGTTATGATCTAAGGAAATAACATTGGCCTTGCAATTTGCTAATCTCTATTTAATGGGGCGAATATCCTATAGACTGTTACGATTCCAAATTTTTTTAATTAATGCATATTTCAATCATTGAACATTCGCCTTCTAATATGCATAGATATTTTCTGCTTAATATTGTCAGTTCTTACACCATCATTTAGATACATACCTACTTGTAAATCTTTACACGCCTGTAATTTTTGAGAAACAGGTGAGTCCATTTATCTCTATTATAAATAATAAGATATTCAAGATGTTTGATGTTTTAGTAACATATTGATACAAAAACATTTTATCTTTTGTTCACAAAATCACAATATTTATGAACAGTGTTTAGCTTGCCGGCTGACGGCAGTGTCAGTGTCGGCGTCGGCGTCGGCTAATAGACAATTAATTTTTTTTATTTCTTAAATAGAATCATCACTGAAATACCTTTCAATTTCATATTTTTTTATATTTTTTCGGTCGATTTCAAGGTGCTAAAATAATCAATAATGCCACGATAATTTTCAAACTGCTAGAAATTTACCGCGAGTAAAATCTGACGTCACGATTTCGCAAGTAGGGGCAAACCATAGAGCAGTTGCCATATGTTGAAATGCGGTTGGGTACTTCAGAAATATCATTCAATAATAATTTATAAATTATCAATTATGTATTAGTACTATTCCTATAATTGGCAATAAAAAATCAATTGTCTCAAAATTATCTCTCGTGTTGTGACTTATGGCTTATGAAACACTTGTGTAAATAATAATTATATTAATTCACACTAGAGGACATTCGAATTAGTAAACGTGATAACACGGCGAACGAATTGTTTTGTCAGTTCTCAGCTAGCACAATCCAAGTCTTCAATATTTACATAATATTTCGTTATGGAGTATAAGAAATATTTGGACATGCTGGTTACTCAAGAAAGTCAAGAATGAAATATAATATCATGGCATCCTCCTATAATGTTTTATTCATTATAATTTACATCTTTGACAGAAGACATGGGTCTACTTCAAAGAGCACAGCTTCATTGAAACAACGACTGTTGCTCTCCTGAAGTGCACGAATAATTTGGGAATAACTGGTATGAAACCACTGTTCATACCTAACACCCTCCTTTGTAGAGAGGCATTACGAACGCCAAAGTTGATACACTCCCCTCGTAAGGGTACTGGACGTGATTCCATACACTCACAATGTCGAATAATTTTTAGACTGTTTGATTGAATGATCGATAAAAGTTGTTTTTCATGAGAAATGTTCGAAGAAGAATAAAAATATGATATGTATTTGAATTCAATGTTCATACAATCTTATCTTGGAAATCTCCATATTCCGTTAATCTTCCTGACATACGTTGAGTTCCTATGTGATCCTTATCGAATATAAAGTCCTGAAATGCTGCACTAGTTTACATTGCTTCTGGAATATCCTGAAAAAAAAAAAACAGGTTGGTATTATGCATCCCTGATTGCGCAGTATACAGGGTAGGGTGTCCCGTGACTTGATGCCCGTGGCTTAAGGGTATATACATTGAACAATTTTAACTCAAAAGTGCCTCATACACGTTTGTCTGAAACTCGATAGTTGAGGGGTTATGATCAATTAAATAACAACTTTACTTGCCGATGGATTGCAAGAGGTGGTCCAGTTCTCTGGTCACCGAAGTCACCTGACCTAATGCCTCTCGACTATTATTTTTGAGGTCACATAAAATGTCTAGTGTATTGAAATGAACCACAATGAGTAAATTCAAAATATGATAACTGCAGCTACATCCCCACGAGACGATCCAGATACTCTTCTAATTTTTCGAGTGATTGGTTGAATGATCGATAAAAGTAGATGTTTATGAAGAAATGTTCGAAAATAAAAGTGTTATAGCAACCACAATTAATTCAGCAGAACCACTTCAATATTTCATATTCGCAATAGTGCTATAATTTGTTACTTACTAATTTATTACTAATTTATTACTGTATTCGCGAATTCATAACCCCTCATTCAAGAGCAAAAAACAATGGCTCTGTTAGCTTTATCTCAACCTAGCGGAATCATAGCTAAAAATGTACTTTTTTGACAGCTTCAGAGATACCATAATTTATTACTATCTTATTACTAACTCATATAACTATAATCACGAATTTTGTACTCATCATTCGATGGAAAACAAGGCCGATTTGTCTAGCTCGATCTCAAGCTAGCAGAACCAAAACTCGAATCACATATTTTTCGAAATTTCCATCGGGTCCTCAAAAAATCAGTAATTTATCACCTACCTCGTTTATTACTAATTCATCACCACATTCTCAAATGTATAACCCTCCATTTAACAAAACAAAACCAACGGCCCTGCTAGCTTTATATCAACCTTGCATTGAATTGTTTTTTGAAAACTCGAGATATACCATAATGTATACTCGACTATTTTATTACGAATTCATTATCACAATAACGATTCTGCCACAAATATACAGGTTGCCATTTGGAAAAGAAAAGTTGGGTCTACTTCCAATGAAACAGGTGGTTTAAGAAAATTTTCATTGGGTTCAAAGGGAGCCCTCGTGAATTTCAAATTTTTATCTCTTCAAATTAAAAAACTACAGGCTGTTACATGTCTCCTGTGTCACCCGGTATAGTCCACATATGAATTCTCAAAACACTTCACAAAACACCGACACAACACAGAATAACGCAATGTAATCACTATACCGAACGATGTATTTGGAAAACACAGTATCATCACTCTTTTTGATAAACATAAATGTAGAATCAAAACAGTTCTTTTTCTACGGCCATATAACACAAAATTGCCATTATTTCACAAAATATCACCTCAAGTAGACCATACGCGATGAAATCTAACACACGACTGACACGATTCACCATCTCGTCCCGATCGAAATGACTAATTAGTTCCCCGCACAATGATTTATCTATGACTCATAATAATAATTATGATGATATTTGAAGTATACAGGGAGATAGGATGAACATGGAATGTACTATTGATATACAGGGTCATTTGAGGTACCACCTCAATGATTACGTGAGGGGTGCTTCCATGAAAAGAGTGACAGAATTTGATTTTTCAGAACTGTAAATTTTCGTGATATTGCATTGTTGCCTCTTCATTACATCTCAGAGATGTCATGTCACAGATCTGTTGGCTGTGTTTCTATTACTTTATAGTTTAGTTGAATCTATAAACCCCTGCTCATCATTGACTGAAACTGTTTTCTCGATTGGTAGGTATAACTATTTTCCCAGAGAGCACCTAGTGATTTTGAGAACGGGGATCATGGGATATATCATTTAGATACACTGAGAAAGAGGGAATTGTTCGTTTCCTATAAGCAGATTAGGCCTAAACTTGCTTCAAGATTCAGCATTTTGATCACCCAGTATCTATTTCAATTGAATGTCAGTAGATACTAGATAGTGAATCGAAAGTTAAGATAGGGACATGTGAGCCGTTTAGCATATTGGGCTAAATCTCATTATTTTTGTGTTTACTATCTGTACTTCAGAGATTTCCCATTCTTAATGAATCACCCTGTATATTCTGTGATCATCAATTCCTGAATAACATTGATAGAATATAATGGATTATTCTAGGAACGTTCCTAGGATATTTAGATGAATGTATAAGGATATTCTCGTAAAAAATTCTATGATCATTCAGCACTTTCACATCATATTCAATGAATATTCTGAAGGAGGTTATTTGTTGTGATCGTTATGAGAACATTCATAGAATATTCTGTGCTGTCTGGGTTCAAGAATCCATTCAAACTTTATTCCCATAGCTGAAAAGTTGTATGAGAAGAAGTCTTCATCATAAGAATATTATGGAGGAAGCAGTGAATTTGCAGAGCATAGAAGCGTTTCTTTCTAACTTCGAGGGAGGTGATGTTCATTTGTCAACAGACTATTGGGATGAAGGCATCGCAATGTTGTGCCTGAATTATCCGGAAAAAAGAAATGCAATGAGCGGTGAGTTTGAATTAATAAGTATCGATACTGAGCAATTGTTAATGGAGATAGTATTCGCGATAGAAAATAAGCTTACGCCACCTATCGGAGATCTTGAAAGCTGTCAAAGGGACCTGTTTGCTTTGTTTTTATTGTTTCACTTTCGTTTTTTGTTTGTGCTTATTGGCAACATCATAAAAACAAACCGTTCAAACGTGTTCAAGTTGTTGCCGTCAGGTGGAGCAACGTGTTATTTTCTATCGCGAATTCTCTGAAAATAAGTATACCGCAGTAGTAAATCACGAAAACATTTTGTATGTCGCGAACCATACAAAATTATTGGAGCATCTTTGTGGAACTCCTATGTCCCAATGATGGTGTGTATAATAGGGCGCAGGCGATTTTCAAATGTTGGAAGTCTGTCCAAAAAAACTGTTTTTGGACGTGTAGAATGCCAAAAATCAATGAGACACATTTCCATATTATATTTCTTTGTAGAATACAATTTCTTCTTTATCAATTTGAACAGAATACCTATACCTAGAGTCCCTGTATATACCTTAGACAAGAGTCCGGACACAAAACTGACAGCCGTCGGGGTTTTTAATATTTCGTTTCATTTGGTTTGCCCACCTGACAATGTAACGAACCACCATAGTCGTCCCGCCCGCTTTTTTTATTCATTTCGAATTTCTGTCACTTTGAAATTTAACAACCGACAAAATTTTGCATTTTAAATTATTTCAATGTCCTGCTGCGTACATTATTGCGATAATTCATTAGAAAAGGGATTCAGGTTATTCAATTTTCCGAATGATCCTTTAAAGATAATGTCATGGAAGAATGCAATGAAACGTCCAGAATGGAAAATTAATTTCAAGAATTCCGCAATATGTGAGGTATATATTCAAATTCACTTGTAAAAACAGTAGGTACAAAAAGATGAATTTTAGGACCATTTTAATAGATTCTTTCAAGCTGATGGATTTCAAATTGAAAGAGTCTGCTGTGCCGTCAATTTATAAAATAGAGACGTTCAAAAAAAGAGTTCCGTCGTCATCGTATTGGGAATTACTGAATGATACGATCGCAGAGAAAGAAAATGATAATGAGATGATGCGGAAAAATTGAAAGTTTGAAATCAAAACTAGAAGATTTAGAGGAATGCTATGTCATCAGTCCACGATGTTTTCAATTCAGATCAAATTCAAAATTCACAGGTGAATGTAGACTACAGGAAGAGGTGGGAAACCGACACAATTAAAATTATATTGAAACAATTATATATCTTCTATTTTTTTATATCTCAACAGAAAACAACTATACTTTCTTGGCTATATGTGATACCACGTAGAACACTCAAATTATCTTTCTTATTATCTAATGAAGTGAAGAAATATCTGATGACGAAAATTTGCAATACCCATCTCAGGAATTTATTATGAGAATTATCGATTCGAAATGTCAACACCCTGTTGTTCATTATTTGAATATCTAATAGTTATTCTAGTTAAAATAGCCCTATTTCTCACTTCTACCTACGGCTATGAACGGTTTGACAAATAATCTAACGCTCAAAATTGTTTCTGACAATCATTGATACTAGGGGAATTGAAAAAACAGAGCTCGATATATATGTCTTATTCCTTTATTCAATAATCAATGCATTTTTTGAAAACAGAAAAGGACAGAAGTATAGCTGTGTCCGGACTCTTGTCTAAGGTATATACAGGGACTCTACCTATACCTATACTAGCTGTTACATGGAAAATTTCTTATGGACATTTTCAAACTCACTATCGCAGCTGCTTTCGTTTGTTTATTGCGATAATTGGAACCAAACTTTGAAAACTCAAAATGTCAACCAATTTCATGTCAAATAGCTGTCAGCCGATATTTCGCTGCCTAGCTTAAAAACCGGAAAATCTTTCTCGAATACGAATACTCAGAAAATTCTCCCTAGTCTTCGGCTCTGGAAAATCTTCAAAATATTCGTGCGTGTTCGCGAAAAAATTTCTATTAATAATCGAAGCTCTCGTGGTATTCATCCATATACGTATTAATAATCAATACGAATAATCTCTATCTGTTTCCATAGCGAAACATGAAGCCGATTTTTGAAGACAAATGACTATCCATAAGGAAAAGTTTTGAAACGATCAGACACATACTGCTTTGATTGAAAGGCTAGTAAACGTCATTGTCCACCGAAACGCATGTCTTTGATGACTACTATAATAGCGCATGGCGCATGCGTATCATGCCACCAAATCCTTATGGATATTCATTTGTTTCATATTTTTGGCTTCATCCTGGCACCCGTTATGATCCGTATTGTTTATTAATTCGTATATGTATTCATCATAAGTGAAAGCTACTGACTGCTGGCTGGAGACTACACTGCACTGATGAGAGTCAAAGAGCTCGAAACCGGTCTGTGGTTGTCTAGCGGCCTGGCTTAATCGAAATCAATAGGCATTCAGGAAAGAATCACTTGTATTAGTATTCGTTTAAACGAGTCGATGCATAGATTTCGGGAGGATGTAATTCAATATCCTGCATGGCATTAGCCAGGGAAGTAGTTGTTTTTCTCCCGAAATCTACGACACCATTGTTGTTCATTTTTTTATGAACACTGGGTGGAAATGACTGTGAGCTTTTCACATTTATTTAAAGCTAAATTTCATGATGTGTTACAATTTTGCATTCCCCAATACAGGGTATGTCACGACGAGCTTACACTATCACTAGTTATCCATTGGTTGGTCATTTAGGTTTATACAATGGATGTACAATTCATGTCTATGAATATCCGGAACTTTTTTCGATATGCGTTGGGGTAGTGTCAGTGGTATTCCATTAGATAGACATTTTGGTTGATCCGATGGAAGTACATTTCTTGTCCATGTGTATATCCGATCCGTTTTCAGGGTTCGACATGATCTTTCCGGACACCCTGTATAAAGTGTGAAAATTTTCAAATTCGTGTCTTGACCTATTCGATACATTATCCTTTCATGCGTTCTCTTTCCTTTTCTAGGAAAGATGATGGTTGATCTCGGTAAATGTGTCTCTAAGTTAGAAAAGTGGGAAACTGGAAAAGCCGTGATAATTCTCGGAGCAGGCGAAAATTTTTGTTCAGGAGGCGATTTGGACTTCGCTAAAGCTACTGGAACTGCTAAAGAGGGATTCTATATGAGCTACTACATGCAGGACACATTAAAAAGGTTCTTTTATACTCACAATTTTATACCAGTCATTTTCAACCGATTAGATGATTCATTTCGACATTGTTACTATGGTAACCAGCAAATTATCTGAACATTTTCCATCCACATGAGCATATAGACGTAAAACTAAAAAGTGTAAATTTATCGGCATATGACAGCTATCATATACATTTATTTGTGTTGTGGAAATATTGCATTGCTACGGTATAATCAAATTCCTCCATTGACCATTCATATATTTTTTACAATAGGAACATTTACAGGCTCTCCAAGTTTGAATTCAAAACAGAGTGGGTTTCGACAAGTTGATCCAAAATGCTACTTTCACAGAATTTTTGCAGAATATGAATTGATTTTTTGAAATACACTTCTATTATTTGTGTAATGACCAATACTGTCAAACATCGCCAAACTCTAATATATCTTGAATTACTTACAGGAAACAATTTCAAAGATTTTTGCGCCACTAAAGATGATGGAACCAGATATTCAATTTATAATCCATGTGCTTGTGAATATTTCAGGTATTTTTCAGTGTATAATTGAGCTCCAGTGGGTATTTTGGGATACTCGATGATAAATAATGGGTTGAAGCTCCGAACTAAAGAAAGTAATCAAAAATGAAACACTTTGAATTTGGTTCAACTGTTCGAGCAAGCCTTAAGACCACTGTTCTGAAGGCCTTCAGACCACTGTTTTAAAGGCAGACGTTGCTCTTGACATGTTTGTTTGTTTCACATAGGTACAAATAATTTAAATCATAAGTAACAAGATTACGGAATATTTCAAATTTGGACAATGCACATATCGCAAAAATACCTGAATAATCTATGTAGAACCTCGAATGTCATGTGACAAGTAATATTCCCACACTCAAATCATATAAAGGAACCATGCCTTATATAAGTAGCCCTGAGATAGTGATAAACATAAGGAAATTACTCATAACTTGAAAACGCCGCCACCGATTTAGATATTTTTTCAGCGATGAGAAGGTGAATGTTGTCAAAATAAATCTGTGATGAGAAATACAGGGTGTTCTATTTGAAAAATTCTAATGAACGTCGTCTGAATCTTACAATATTCATAATGTTAATTCTAGCACCCTGTAAAGGATCATCTCGCAAAATCACTGAATTGAATAAATAAAAATACCATGCCCAATTCAACATGACTCTTCGATAGTGGTAAAAATGGGTTTATCAATTATAACTTTGCAACGCCACAACCAAATTCAATTTTTTTCACAGCGATGTGAAGGTGAACCTCGGCGGAATAAATTCCGAATAAAAAATACTGGGTGTTTAATTTAAAAAAACTCGTCTCCGAGTCGTCCCGCTTTTATAAAACACCCAGTAATATTGAAAATATTTTTGAAATGAGCAACTTCAGTAACTGAAAAAGTTTCTCTTTCAAAGTTTTTCACTATAGGTCATGGCTTTCGATATATCGAAGAATTATAACTCACAAATAATTATCATTTCTGTTGCATTGTCAACGCGAATATAGCAGCAAAATTGATAGAATATTATTGTATTTTCGTAATCTGAACGCATATGCTCTACAATCTACATCATATTGTGACAGTGTGAGACCTCGCAGCCTATCGATTGTCATAAAAGCATCTCGTATGCATCATTATTTTCATCTACGGATATTATAGCTGATATAATGAAGTTGTTCTGCAAATTCGGAGGTAGAAATAATTGCATTGTGTGGAATCTTTTAATGCAAACTGTAATTATATTTTCTAATTCAGGTTTAGAAAGTTACCTATGGTGAGTGTTAGTTTGGTGCATGGACCAGCAGTGGGAGGTGGCTCTGAGTTAGCTGTCTTTGCCGATTACATATTGGTTACTGACAATGCAAAACTGGGATTTGTCCACGGCAAGATGGGCATCATCACTGCATGGGGTGGAGGAACTAGGTATATAATTGAATTGTTTCACTACTATATAGCTGTAGACAACACCATTATAACAGGGTGTCCCGTGACTCGATCCCCATAACTTGAGGACATATTCTTGTTCCAAATATACACTACAAAACTCTCAAATTTAACAGAATGTTCAATGAAGCAAAGAGAAAGTTGAATGAAGTAATGTAATATTTTATCAAATGATAACTTGTATTTTATCAAATGATAAATTGTATTCAATTGAGGATTTTGTTCAAATTGTCCCCATGTTGCTTGCCAACATATTCTGGCTTGTCTGATTATTGAAAACGTTGCTCTGTGACGAGTATCTGGGTCGTCTCTCATGAATGCAGCTGTAATAATGATATTCAGAACTAGCTCATCTCTGGTTTGTAGTTATTCGATTATACAAATTTTGTAAGGCACATCTTTTCCTGGTTAGCATATTAAGGTACCTATCTTCACAAAGTTGGTGAGATACAAGAATTTTCTATCTCCCTCGTCCTCTTCTCTATGCGACCAGTCACAAATTCTGATGTTCTTGAAGCTATCTTCTCTTTAAAAAACTCCTCATAGACAGACACATATGATCTCAATAGCAGAATAACTACGGACCTATTTCTATCATCCGTATTTTTGCAAAAATTATTGAAAGAATCATGAAACAACAACTAACTAAGTACTTTGATGAAAATAATTTTTTCAGTGATCAACAATACGGTTTTAGGAATGGTCGCTCGCCAACCAGTGCAGCACTAAGTGTTAAAGAGAAAATAGTTGACGGTCTTGAACAAGGTTATCACATGGGTATCACTCTATGTGATCTGTCTAAAGTCTTCGACTGTGTCTCCCATGAAATACTTCTTGAGAAACTTAATTACTATGTAGTCAGAGGCGTCACTCTCAGTCTCATTGAATCCTATTTGAGCGATCGATTTCGAACGGTATACTACAATGATGAACTATCTGATTTCAAAGGTGTTAGATTTGGTGTACCACAAGGTTCTGTGCTAGGGCCTTTACTGTTTATAATATATACTAATGATTTACCCACTTTTTTATCCTCATACAGTAGCGCGTTATGTTTGCGGACGACCTGACACTAATATATTCTCATGAAAATCACGATTCATTGAATCTCTTGTCTAATAAAATTGAAGGTGTTCATTGTATAAAACACATGTATAAGCACTTTGTCTATGTCTACATTGTCAATATCAATGTCTACATACCTACATCATTCTTCTCCCTGTCTAAAAATATACATGAACCCTGTGAATCAAGTAACTGTTTGAATAGATGTGCCTTGCAACATTCACAAAACGTATACCTACTTATCCATATATACCTATAAAACCTATAGTCGCAGTACATATGTTCCTTTACTTATTTTTATCTGATCCAATTTTTACGAATAAAAAATGATCTACTGATTATATTGTCCAGTTGTATCTTTGTGATCACTACTTTTCGTATTTTGAAAAACTGAATGAGTAAAATTGGAATGCGGTTGTTTTTTAGGTTAGTTCAGATTCTGGGCGAACGAAAAGCAACAGAAATGCTTCTATCCTCTAAGATGTACAACGCTCAAGAATGCCTTGAAATTGGAATCGCTTACAAGATTCTCAGCACCGCTAACAGGATCCAAGAAGCCCTGAATTTTGTAAGAAAGTTGACAGTCAGTCACAGTTCTATAGTGCGCTCTTTCAAAAAGGTGTTGGATGTGGCGACAAAGGAAGACTTTGAAACTTCTTTGAGTTTTGAATGTGAAGAGTTCAGCCCGAAATGGGGCTCTGATCTGAATAAAGACGCACTGCAAAGAAAGATTCATCATGTCAAAGAGGAGAAATCATAGCGAATAAAATATCGATATTTTTTTATTTATTAAGAAAGAAAACTTTCGAAGTCTTGCTTGATCATCCCACTCTACTTCGAGTATGTACTAGGTAGGTACTTCAAAGGCTCATTTATTTATTTATAGCGGTTCGGGGGGGGGGGGACTTGGTAATAACGTACCGCATTCATGTGATACTATTATTGAATAATAAAGCTTACTTATGTTAATGCGTTTTTCAATTTATTATTATTAGTAATTTATTTATAGTATTATTTATTCACACAAAAGATCAGATGCATGTGTGTAGAGCAGACTTCCAGTGGCGGATCTTTAAGGAACTGTAACCATAAATTCATTGTAAGAGCGTTGTTCAGAATGGGATTATAAATACTTTTCGCTTAAACATTTCCTTACATATAATAATCAATGTTTGATAGTCACATCTCTGAAATTATGATTGGTGTTCATATGATGAAGAACATGGAAATATTCATAGAATATTTCATGAATATACAACACAAAATAGTGGGGTGGGGTGGGAGAGGTGGCACAAGTAGGTTTGCATGGCATAATTCTCATCTCGTTATCAAATCGAGAAATTAGGTGCAAACCCAGCGAGCACAAACATCCCTGGGATGTTTTGGGATGCTTTGAAAATGTTGGCATGAAGATGTTATTTTGAGACGTAATATGCACTGACCAAAGAGGTCTTTGAAGGATATTGAAGTATTGTTTTTGTTCCTCTGTGGCATTTCTTTGTTTGCCTACTGAGAGGTATCCCTGGGATGTTTTGGGATGTTTTAGAAATGTAGGCATGAGGATGTTTTTTTGAGGCGTAATATGCACTTCCCAAAGAGGTCTTAGAAGGATATTGAAAGTATTGTTTTTGTTCTTTTGTGCCCTTTCTTTGTTTGCCCCACCACAACGTCTCATGCTTACGTCACAATACGATGAATTCTGATTTGTTTTCGATTTTGTTCTTCTTGTTCGCAATTGGCATTCGCGTTTGCAGCGTGTCACGCTTACATTACACTGCTAACGAACAGAAAGGAATTTGGTGAAGTTTATTGTGTTAGAAGACCTATTTAGTTTGTAATAATGACCATCAGATGCAAGATGTGTTGTTCGGTGCCTCAGAGTAATAAATATATAAAAGTACGAATTTATCAATACACAGCTTCTCCGCAGTTGCAAAATTATGCATTGTGGAGAACATTTCAAAAATTGGGAAACCTCTATTTCCAATTATATGTCTGTGTGTAGTAAGCACTACTCAGAAACCGATTAAGAAGGTAATTTTATATCAAGGAAATATTTGTATGTTCAATCTATTTTTAATGCATTTTTTCATTCAAGGGAAATGGAATCCTAATGCAAAAGTTCATTTTGACAAAAGGCTTCAAAAAAGTACCTAGAAAATGTTTTTTTACAGCGATTTAGTGTGCGCAAGAAGCGTTGAAAATGTTTTGTTGTGTCCATGAAAAGGCTTTAAAAAGAACTAGGGAGAAGGTAGTTTTGTGACATATCAAGGACATCCCGATAATTGCCGCCTGCGGCGGACATTGACTGTTCTATAATAGTTCTATTCATGTGTGAACAGAACATCGCATTGGAGGTTCAATGTCTCGAAATCTCGTACTTTTAACATCTCTGAGATGTTTATGTGCTCGCTGGGTAGTTTATCTGGAATATAGTAGTCTAGAAATGCCTCAAAATGAACCTGAACTCCTGAATGAAGGGTTATCAGATGATAAGTCGAGAGTCCATCATATACTGGCTCTTTCACGATATGTGCTAGACAATAAACATCAGCAGTTGATGGGGCATCTCGTTTTTGATTTCGGGATGTAATAGACGGCAAATTTCCCAATATATGCGCCGATCTATACTGAGCAAAACATATGCTATTATATTTATTCGACTGTTATGAAACTAACAGCATGTTTTGTAGAGCATGTTGATTGAAAATATCGATTCATAACAAAATACAATATTTTATTCAAAAATATTTTCAAAAACAAAACAAAATAGATTGATACAATTTATTCGAAACAAAAAATGTTTTTAATGTCTTATGGCTTTGAGTTCAGCGCAACGCATTCAGGTAGAGTTTCCTTAGAAGACGGTTCCTCATCCTTGGTGAACACTAATCGGTATATCAGACCGGCAAACAAACCTGCTGCTATCGGTCCGACCCAGTAAATCTGAAGGAGACAAAAAAAATATTTTAATATAGGTGAGATATTATAATTTGGACGTCGTATACAATCGACAACATTCAAACGTATAGTATATATTCTCATCATATTTTTTTCGAAATAATCCAAAACCAGTTACCCAATGATTGTCCCAGTCGCCATTCAACAAGGCTGGTCCGAAACTTCTAGCTGGATTCATGTTGGCACCAGTATAAGGACCCTGTTGGAAAGAATGGATTTCTCAGTACCTAATCCCATGAGTATACAGTGTCATTCATAAAGTCGGCATCATATGGGAAAAACTTATTTTGGAATTCGAGTTGGACGTTAGGTTTTGCTTCGAAAAATGGCCTACTCAATCGGGGTCACGTGACTTTCGCTACATGTCAAAAGTGACATTTTTTCAAATTAATCGCTGAAAGTAGGCTTATTTTTTCGAATATCGAAAACATTTACTTGAAATAGAAACAACTTTTTCACACATGCTTCCCGAATTTGATCTTTCTATTGCAACTTTTAGATTCTGATTTTTTTTGTAATTTTTCGAAATTTCTGTAATATTTGAAGAATTGTTAATTCCACGAAACTACTTCATACCAGTAGCTTTTTCATGCTACTTACTTTCAATTACTTATTATGACTGATTATGGACAGAAATATGATTTTCTTCAGAAAATGATAATACCCGCTTCCAAATTCTGTTATGTTTGATGCAAAGTTGATATATCGTCAAGCATTTAGAAACGAAATTCATTTAAACTGATCTTTTCAGTACTGAAAAAATAAATTTAAATGAATTTCGTTTCTAAATGCTTGACTCAAACATAACAGAATTTTGATGTTATGTTTGCATCAAACATAACAGAATTTTGAAGAGGAGATTATCATTTTCTGAAGAAAAACATATTTTTGTCGATATAATTAGTGATAATTAGTAATTAAAAGTTAGTAACATGATGAAGCTACTGGTATGAAGTAGTTTTATCGAATTTACAATTTTTTTAACATTACAAAAATTTCGAAAATTTTTAAAAAATATCGAAATCTAATAAATGTAATAGAAAGATAAAATCCGAGTCACATATGTAAAATTCAAATAGAAACAACTTTTTCAAGTAAACTTTTTCGATATTCGAACAAATAAGCCTACTTTCAGCGATTAATTTGAAAAAATGTCACGTGACCCCGATTGAGTAGGCCATTTTTCATCTTTTTTGAAGCAAAATTTGACGTCCAACTCGAATTTCAAAATAAGTCATTAATAAAAGTTTTTCCCATATGATGCCGACTTTATGAATGACACTGTATACTATAGATAAAAATTTTGAGAAATTGATAATGAAAAGGGCTATTTCAACGCACTAGTGCAGAACACCTACTTTTTGCTCTGGTTTCTTGATTTGTTTTACTTTGTCACTATATGAATTGGGTGGGTGATTGATGGGGGTTTTGATGAAATGCTTTGAACTGCATTTTCACTAGTTTATCATATCATATTTTCTGCCAATATTTGTACTGATAGCCAAATTCTAATAATCACTCGACAATTCATTGAATCTAATGAATGGGGATGGGTAGCTACATGTTATAAATTTATAAACTACGTCGTAGTTGGCTTGGAAACGCTGATGAGTTTGGTCGTTTATAAGTTGGCTGTTGATGGAAAAGATTTGATGAAGAGTAGTTGATGAGAAACTGAACATTCTTGAGTTTGATCAATCTCCATGGCTCACTCCAGAGCCTCTGAGATGAAAACATCTATGAGTTGGGTTGTCGATGATCGTTAGGTACGAAGGAATGTTCTTGCAATGAAAATAATGTTGATGAATTGGGGGTGTGTCTTCGAATTGCGGGTTGTTGATCTGTGTTGGTGTTGCTGCTAATGTAATGAGTGAGGTTATATCTGAGTTAGTCGATTACTTAATACATACACTTGTGGATGAGTATGGTGACATTGAAAGAGACTAAAATGAAATACCGAAATATGAAGAGACCTCGAGAAGTCAGCTCGAAGAAAGGAAATTGACACAGCGTTGGTACAAAAGAATATACCGGGTGACTACGGAAGTATTGCCTACGGAATATCTCAGTTATTGTATGGAGTAGGTTTGTGAAATTCGGAGCGTCGATATAATGACATAAGAGCTAGAATTTGAGCATATTGACATGTCGAAGTTAACTTCCGGTCTGACCGGAAGTAACATCAACTTTCTTATTTCAAATGGAAACCCTATTTTTTTTTCTTTTCGCTTTATTCAGCATTCAATTCCCTTTCTAATGACATATCACAAGTTGGTATCTAACCAGAAACTAGATCAGAAAAAAATTATTATTGAAATTCACCGAGTAGGCCGTGGAAGCAAAATGAAAGCCAAAAAATGACTTTCTATTATATCATTAGAAAGAAATGGTTATGCTGAATAGTACAGGCAAGAAAAAGTTGTATGTTCCTATTTAAGTTATGGACCTACAGAGTATTGTTTTTTCCCCAATTTTTCCAATATTTTTTTTGGCGGCTTTTTATAACGCCGACGAATGAAAATAAAATATCACAGTAGTAGCAACTGTTATCAAGTGACGTATGGTTTCCATAGCCAACTTTTCAATTTTTGGCTTTCCTTTTGCTTCCACGGCCTACTCGGTGAATTTCAATAATAATTTTTTTCTGATCTAGTTTCTGGTTAGATACCAACTTGTGATATGTCATTAGAAAGGGAATTGAATGCTGAATAAATCGAAGAGAAAGAAAAATAGGGTTTCCATTTAAAATAAGAAAGTTGATGTTACTTCCGGTCAGACCGGAAGTTAACTTCGACATGTCAATATGCTCAAATTCTAGCACTTATGTCATTATATCGACGCTCCAAATTTCACAAACCTACTTCATACAATAACTGAAATATTCCGTAGGCAATACTTCCGTAGCCACCCCGGTATATAAAGCTGCAATAAATGTTAGATTGAGTGAGAGCTGTTGGGGTATGTCCTCTTCAAAGAAATTGATGCATTAGATGCGAAAAAATATTCGATATTCAATTCCGATTATGAATTATTATGTGACAATTAACGTAACGTACCTATATTAGACTCAAGTCAAACTCATTCCATAATACCTAAGCAGCTGGTACGAGACAACAGTAACCTGGAAGTGCTATATTTCGGAAAGATAAAAATGAACCGAAGTATGGATTCGATGAGCACGTCTCACTAGACGATTGATGCAAACAATTTTTTCAGTATTGTGAGTATTGTGATTGCAGCTAATATAGGGCGATGCATGGTGATTGCTAAAACTTTCGACATGAATGCTGGCAGACATAGAAATGGTTTTAATGAATTTATAAAGCTTGGTAGAGACTTCGACGGAATTGAAAATACAAGAGAAAGGTTGTATTTGTGTTTACGGGTTTGTCGACAAGTTGGTTTCTTGATCAGATAATTGAGTATCAATCAACTGAGGCTGTTATTAAATGAGTACGTTGATCAATTGAGTGTACATGAAACATATGATGACTTTATGACCTGGAAACGTTGATGAGTTTGGTGTAGGTGTAATTGATTTATCGATCAGTATTGATTCGTGAATGAGTTGGGTATGTTTGGGTGAGTCGATTCATTGGCTTGTTTGTTGATGGATGAGTTGTGAGGGTGTATTGATACACAGGGCATGTCTAATATTTCAGGCATTGATGATATGGTAGCTAATGGTGTGTTGAAAAGGTGTTGATATAAAACTGAGAATCCTTGTGTTCTTACCCCAGACATAGCCAGCACTGCTACAGACAGTCCGAACTTGATGGCCACGGAGTCGTGCTTGTCGGCGTTGCGGGAGTCCCACACGCCGCAGCACACCAGCGCCAAGATGGCGGACAGCACGAATTCGACGAGCAGGCCCTGGCCGGGAGTGATGAGTGGACTCAGGGAGGGCGAGCAGACGCCGAGGCCGGTCTTGACTAGCTCGCCGGAGACGTTTCTGTAGACGTTGCCTAGGTAGTGAGAGGGAGTCGCTGCCTGCGTCAATCAATCAATCAATCAAAAATATACTTTATCGTCAAAGAAACACATTCTTGTTGACAAAGCATGATGAATAAATAATTACAATAAATGAAGTGAAATGAAGAATTCCACAGTCAACGTTGTGGTTGAACTCGTTGGAATACAGATACATAGACAATTTAAATGATCAATAATCGAAATGAATAAATAGGTAAAGTGTATAGACTGGTGTATATCATGAAGGTACATAAATTATTGAATGGATCCACAGGCACTCATATTGAAATATATCTCTGTACAAGAACTGGTGAATACAAAAGTTTGTATATATGGACGTACAGCATAAATCGACATACTTATAACATAACTTATATAACATAATTGTGAAAATATCAGCTGGAGTTAATTATCCCTCGAGATTATTGTCAAAGAAATCTTGAATAGAATAATAGGTCTTTTCAACAAGCAACCGTCAGAACGAAGAATTATTATGGCTCTTCGCAATGAAGCGTCTAGTAGGGGATTGGTATAGTTTATACGAAGTCAGTTGAAAGAGACAAAAAAAAAATTGCCGGCTGGATGTCGGCAAATCCTTTGACAAGCCGCAGCTCATAGCAGCGGGTAAAATATTTTTCTAGTTACCACAAATTGAAGCTGTTTCTGAATGAATTTTTTATTGTTCAAAAATTACCTATATATCCATTCTGGAACAAGAGAGTATATAATATTAGTGAGTTTCCAGACCATCCATGAGGCACCCATGACTGGTTACTTGTTTTTAGGGGGTGTTCGCCAATAGCCCTATCGTCCCACATTCCACATTTGATATCCTCGTGATAATCGGCAGAGGATTGCTTGATATTTCTGACAGATAACAACAATGCATTGTTAACAAATCAATTTTCATTGCCGGCGTGAAGGATTATAATTCTTTTGCCTCTCGAACTCGGACCACTCACATTACAGTTCTTGCTATCATCTACCCAACCGTATTGAACAACGTCATGAGTGTCGAACCACGTTTCATCTAGATTATAAGTCTATTCGCTTCACGGTATCTTCTTATTTCACGTAGATATTCTTGCCGATGGGTCTTGATTCCATAATCACCATCCTTTTGTCTGAACCCGCGATCCAGTAAAACATTTCGCAACGTACTTAACGATTTGTAATTATAATCCGCGAATTCATTCAACTTATCCCTGAAATGTGGCAATGTTGGCACCTTATTCTCATTATGAAATCTATATACAATTCGACGAATTACTCCTTTCGGAGCATCATCAAGCTTCTTGAGTTTTTGTCCCTCTCTTTTTCGTTTAACTTCATGATCTACAACACCTCCGGTTCAAATAACTCTGTATATGGTGGGTATAGCTTATTTTAGTTAATTCCTGTATTCTCTTCACAAGTTGGTTTTCTGAAGAATCATTATTCTCGTCTTTGAGACGCGAATAGATATTCAAAATTACCCTTTGCGTTTGAACGTGTAAGTCTTTATTGTCGAACTCCGCTTGCTCTCCCTCCGAATCACTATCATTCACTTCGTTGACTTCCTGAAAAAGCCTCCTGAACACAAAGCCACTATGAATGAAATAATAATTTTCTGAATTTCGAGTTCAACCAATGAAGGCAACCTAGCTCGTACCGCACTGCCTAGCGCATGCTAGAAGATTCTTATCACACAGAAGACCGCCCATGCAACTCTGACCAATCAACATTCAGTATAGTTTGAAGTAACCAATGAGATGCGGTTTCTAGCATGATAGCGCTCGTCCAGTCCACGTTGACTGCACAGGATGCATACCGGGAAAGCTCAGTTGAGAATATCTCATTCATTCCTATTCCAATGTTAAGCAAATCGACAAATCCCCGTATCGTCCTTAAAAACGGAAGTTTTTCAACTGACTTTGCATAAACTATACTGTGAGCTGTGCATGCGGCTACCATGTCAGCGGCTCGGTTCAACCCATGCGAAGGTCTATCATGAAAAACAACTGAATGACGTCTTGTCCAATTAATTCGTTGCCACCCAAGTATATCATTTTCATCAGTGGCTCTTTGAATTGCGAAGGAGAATGATAACGTATCATAAGGATGGAAAATATTCTTTCTGCATAAGAAAGGAGATTACTTTTCCAAGAATCTAACCTAACTCGGTCTAATTGAACAGGCCTGTTCTATATTTGTCATAATCTCACCTGAACTAATCCATATCCAAGAACCGATCCCAATATCTGCCCTACAAAAAATATAGGGACTTGAATTAAGGGAATGTGTCCAAGAGTTGCTGCTGCTGTAGTCACCATGGGGTTTATGTGAGCCCCTGATATGTGTCCAAATATCTGCAAAGTTCAGGAAAGATTGGTAAGTAACTATATGTTGTTTCAAATTCGATTCTCACCATTGGGATCTCGGAAATTGTGAAATACGACGATGTTCAAATTGGGGCAAAGTTGTGCATTTAACTGATTAAAATGTACAGGGTGTTCCATAAGTCATGGATAAAAAAAGTGGGTTGGCAGGGGGAGGGTGGGGGGTCATTTCAAATGAAACTAACCGTATATGTGGTTATCCAATTGTTGATGGTTCAAAAGTTATTAATGTTTTTTGCATTTCTATAAAAATGTACAAAACGATACTTTCAAGAACTAATCAAAGAAGAAAGGGATACATAATTTTAGAGTCTCTGTGAAAAATGTTCGTCGAGGTTGTATCGTGGATTCTGAACGAAAAATATTTTCACCTTGGTCCGGAATTTTTTGTTACACGGAATTTCTTTGATATGATTTGACAAATGATTGAATATCTTCATTCCATTATAAATAATTGAGTCTTAGATCATAGTGGTACGGGTCTTATCAATTTAACTTGTCCGTTCTGTCTTGTGTTGTAATGTGATGAAACAAGCTCTAAAGAAGCTAAGTTTTTTTTGTATCAGAACCGTTGTTTCCAAGATGTATAATCCAACTACTGTCAGGATGCCGCAATTCTTGAATATATGTCTACATGAGTCCCTCGATTTCGCTCCTCACATGACACATACAGGTTGTTTCAGATTTAAATGGACATACGATACCTGTAGATAGGGGACACTGTGATAGTTCCAAATCACCCCTCTTTGATGTCCCAATAAACATTTCCCGCAACTCATAGTAACCACCTATTTATATAATGAATATATAAAGGTGGGCTAGTTATATAAGAAGGTTTCGGAGATTTATAAGCCGCACCTTACAGTAACGCGGTTTTATAATCATCGTATAGAGTTACTGTAACCTCTGGGTATATAATGAGGTGATGTAACTATTTCCATCATCATTTTATAAAACTTGGAGTTACCGTTACCAATATATCTTCAACCAGGTTATATAAACTTTGTCATTACCTCATTTATATAACTGAAGTTTCCTAGGTTGTATAGTAGTATTGTTAATCATCTTTATGAAATTCAGGAAATAACAGTAGTTGCTATAGTATATAATAAAACTCTTGGTGATCTTATAATTCTTATAGTCATTAACAATTGACATAGGAAAGTGAGGTTATAAAGCAATCTAATTGAGATTGAAATATGTGCATGAGTTCTTCAATCTATGTTAGTGAGTATGTTACAAAACTGGAAAAAAAATCAAGTACAGCTCTTCATTTCGACGAAAAGTTACCAAAAATTTCAGGGAAATTTTGAATTCTGATGTATTACCAACATCAGTCTCCTTCCTCAGTTAACACAGCAGAAACATCACCTACTAAAGATTTCCAATATGCAAATAGTCAAGAAATGAATGCTCATGAATTGTTACAACCAGATAGACCACAAAGAGCATCATATGATGTATGCACACATCAGAAAAAACTGAGCAGAATATCAGTAGTTGGTTCTTACTATTTTGAACGACGTTTCACAACATACAATCCAAATTGATCCAATCTATTTCATATTTTTTGAGGTTAAATTCGGGCTTTTATTTGCTCGATGAGTCTCGGAAGTCATTATATCTATCATTCTTCATTTCGCAATAATAAACAAAGACAAAGAAACATTGGGTGTATTCAAAGTTCGCACTAAATGCTTCCAACACTGCTATATCACTGAAAATTTATATAACACCAATTAATGATATATACGCTTACTTCTATCAATATTACATCACTATTGGTGATATATGAGTTCTTATTCTTTTGATTGATTCCGCCATGATTCGATAGGGAGGACGTGGGCAAAGCGGGAAATACTTACCGCGCAGTTGAGAATAGAAATAATTAATGAATAGTTTGAATGGTAAAATTGTACAGGGGGAAAATCTCTAACTACAGAAAGTGAACACCAAATCATGAAGATTCAGCCTAAGATGCCTCATAAAAATATGTTGCTGGTTAAAGAGATACAGAGTGCATGTTCATGGGGAAGATTGTTTTGGAGTAATGAATTGGTAATTCATTTTGTGATTGCTCATAGAGAGGACACTAGTGGCATTCTGTTACTGCAGTGAATCACATCATATCTTTTTGTCCATTGAATAATGGTTAAAGTGGGTGAAAAATCTGAAAGCTTGTTCAATTCGACATAAATAAGATGACTGACTGACATATTGTTTTCATGGTATCATTTTTGAGAAATCTCGTGATTAGACGCAAAAGAGAATATTGACATACATGACCGTTTAAGGAGAGCCACGACTCTTATAGGTGCGTAGCATTACAGAAAGCTTGAAATCATTTCAATTTGCTCCACTCTACCCTAATTCGATAATTTCTAAATCCGAATTGAAATTGATAATTACGAGAAATTATGAAAGCCCTTGTGTTTTTTCGAGGCATCGAGTTCACATTCACGGTAAAACATGTCTACCACCTTCTTTTGATGCATAACTATTTACCTGAAGTCGCAAAATATAAGTGATTAAATACTGTTGCAATGTCACAGTTAATCAGGATAGCGACTTGTTCATTCTACTTCAACCAACTCATAACATCTGATATGAATAAAATGAAAGAAAAAATGAAACAATAAATGTGCCCAAGAGAGAAGAATGATATGACAGGAAGATTCTGACAGCAACAATGACAGAATAGGAGTAACAGAAATATTATTGAAACCTTTACAGGCAAAGTTTATATGGGTTACCAGAACTTAAATAACACTTTATTACATCACTTGAAGTGTTCATCCACAGTTATTTAAGAGTTTATATAATGGCTACCAAAACAATACGCTTACTTTTGGTTATAAAACCTATAGCTATATATCGTTACTGATTGAAGGTTATCGCAACCTTTATAAACGCCCCATTTAAGCTCTTTAGAGGGTTTATAGAGGCGATAAGAATATTTCGGTTACTAAAGTAGGTGCATACAAGTTATTTAAGGTAGGTGGTATAACATTCACGGTAACTCATATATAAATAAAAATGTTTATTGGGACGTGTCTACTGTTTTTTATAACTAAGATTCAGGACGATATCTCGATTTTGGCAAAATCATCATCCGGTCATAGCTTTTGAACCACTTTGTATAATTTATCAAAACTGAATGAAAATCTGGATCAGAATCCAGGTCCGTCTTGAGGAAAAACAGAAAACTATTTTTTATATCAAAAACAACACAATGTATGGCAAAATTTTTTAGATCTGTTTTAATATTTGAAAAGAGCAGGGAAAAACAAATGAAGTGACCTACTTTTTACGACCGCGCATCCGATTTGACAGATGTTTTATTATCATTTTCTGATATACTCGGCTCAATTTTGAGTCATTTTTATTGAACTCGTAATTCAAAATCCAATTATTTCACGAAATAATAACGTCCGTCGAAGTTCAACATCATTGGGGTGAAATAGAGATAGATCTGTTCGTTCGACAGAATTGGAAATTTTTGAGGGCTCGTTTTATTCTTCACTATTGATTCATGAGCTGCGGTGAATCTATCAATAGTTCACCTAATTTGCTTCTAATGACGTTCAACTTTGAAGACAATTATTTTTTTGTATCGAAATTGGATTTTGAATTACAGTTCAATAAAAATGCCTTGAAATGGGGTGAATATTTCGAAACATAGGTCACTAAAATTTTGCCATACAGAGTGTTGTTTTTGAAATAAACAAGTTTTCTGTTTTTCCTTAAGACGGACCTGGATCCTGATCTCGATTTTTATTTAGTTTTGATGTGTGAAATATTTCTATCAAGTATGAATAGATTATACAATGTGGTTCAAAAATTATGACCAGATGAAGTTTTTGCCAAGATCAAGATAACGTCCTCTACCTCAGTTATGAAAGACGGTAAACACATCAATGGGGGTGATTTGTCAAAGTGTCCTCTATCTGCTAGTGTCGTATGTACATTCAAGTCTGGAACACCCTGTATATCTTAGGGCCCGTTTTTGTAAGGCAAAACTCCTCTGGAATAGCTGTAAATATGTAGATAGATAGATAGATAGATCGTTATTCACTTCGAGGAATCACCCACCTGGACAGACATCATAACAGCCAGACCGAAGGAGAAGGAGATCTGCTCGTGGGGGATGACGCCCCCTGGGGTCACACCTTTGACGCACCCCAAGCATCCGATGAACACGAGGACAGCCGTACCAGCCACTTCACCCGCGCACAGGATAATTCTGTCTTTGGTCGTCATGGTGTCTCCGATCTGGATCAGCTTGCCTGAAACAAAAATATAATAGAAATGAAGTGGTGCTTTTTTTCATTCCAACATTGTATGTACAGGCTGATTCACGGGGGATTTCTGGAGAACACTACTCAGGATTATTCTGATAAGTTGGTGCCTTCAATAATTAGTCGTGTTCTATCGACCTGAAATATTCTCAGCATTGCGACGTTGTCGCTCATATTGAAAACAAGCAACAAGCAACAACTTTGATTTTTCAAATGGAACACCCTGTATATTATTCCATTTTCAGATTCTTCCTAAAGAGCTGATTTCATTGACCTTCAACACTTGGGGTCAAGCAGTAATAAACGACAGAGTTATAGGATGTGAAAAATCGAGGAATTTTTCGTGTCGAAACTATTTATAATTGGTTGAAATGGTTTTCATGTCCCTATCTTAACTTTTCATGACTATCAATTGATATTTAATTGAAATAGATATAGGGTGGTAAAAAATCTTAATTTTGAACCACCCTCAACTCAACAGAAACACTATGTACTGAATTGCTTTAGTCATGTGAAACTTCGTTTAGGCTATGTATTTGAGAACACAGCTATTATTTTGATTCAGAATTCAACCAACATATTATTATTTAGTCGATGACAATTCCACGTGATTTACACCAAAAGCGGTGTTCCGGTGTAAAGGCACACGACATGCATTGCATAGTGTGTGTTGTTTAAAATTATTGAATAAAATCTAATTGGGAGTCTTATGGTCATATAGTTCAAATTATACACAGAATAGAATTCGTACTTTTCAGAAGTTTTTATTTTTCAATTCTTCAGAAAAAAACTGTTCTTTTTTTTTTTGTTATGGTGATACATCAAGATATATAAAATATAATACGGGGTGATTTATATAAGTATTCAAATAGAAACCAAATTCAAGTTTGTATTTTTCCTCAATACCCCCACTCAAACTTGAATATCTAAACCCAATAAAGATCTTAAAAATTCGTACTTGTTTCTGGATAAAGGCTTAGTCATGATATCGGCGATTTGTCTCTGAGTTTCAACATATTCAAAAATGACTTGCTTCTCTTGACATTTTTCTCGTATGAAATGATAGCGGATATCAATGTGCTTACTTCTTTTATGAAATTCAGGATTTTTTATCAGTCTTAGAGCACTTTGGTTATCCACAAACAAAACTGGTTTGCTGACTTTCTGTAGAAGTTCTTCAAATAATAACTTGAGCCAAATCAGTTCTCGGACTGCTTGACTGGCTGCAACGTATTCCGATTCTGTTGTCGATAAAGAAACTGATTTTTGTGTCTGAGATCCCCAAGCAATAGCACTTTGTCCTAATTGAAAAATCCATCCAGAAGTTGAACGCCTAGATACTGTGTCTCCAGCAAAATCTGCATCACTATACCCCTTCAATTCAATATCTGTATGGCTCTTATAATAAAGGCCAAGTTTTGAAGAACCTTTCAAGTACTTCATTATCCTCTTCACAGCATTCCAGTGGACTAATGAAGGATTTTCAAGGAATTTGCTTACAGTACTCACTGCATATCCAATATCAGGTCTTGTTGCCACACATAGGTAGATCAGACTTCCTACTGCTTCTCGATATGGAACCTTACCCCCTACTTTTACAATATTCTCTTCAGATGAGGTTTCGTTGAATACTGCTGGTATACTGACAGGTTTAGCATCTTCCATTCGAAATTTTTTCAACAATCTCTCCACATATCCTCTTTGGTGAATGAAAATAGAACCATCCACTTTTTTCTCAATTTCAAGGCCTAAAAAGTAATTGAAGTCTGAAACTCTCACCAAGAATTCCTTTGTCAGGTAGTCTATCAAACTATCAATCTCTAGATGATCAGAGGCAGCTACCAATCCATCATCAACGTATATAATGCTAGATATACTGTTGATATATCATTTCTTCTGAAAAATACACAAGGATCTGCTTTCGTGATTTCCAAATTGAAATTCTTCAGAAAATTTGTGAAAGTTTCATTCCAAACTCTTGGAGCTTGTTTCAATCCGTATAAGCTCTTCAACAATTTACAGGCTCGCCCTGTACCATCTTCATAACCTCTCGGTTGAACCATATATATTTCTTCCAGTAACTCACCATAAAGGAATGCTGTTTTTATGTCAAATTGTTTTAGCTTCAAGTTTTCAGCTGCTGCAATTGCCAAAATCATTCTTATGGAATCAAATCTAACTACTGGACTGAATGTTTCTTGATAATCGATACCATATTGTTGACGAAATCCTTTTATGACTAAACGTGCTTTGTATCTATCAACCGATCCATCTGCTTTCATTTTAATCTGGAAAATCCATTTATTATCAATAGCCTTACGGTCTTTGGGCAATTCAACCAATTCCCATGTTCTATTTTCATTCAAAGAGTTGATTTCTTCATCCATTGCCAATTTCCATTTATCATTATTGTTTGATTGCATAGCATCTGTATACGTCGATGGTAAATCGTCTTGTATATTAACTAAACACATTGCAATATCATAATCAGCATACCTCGATGGTGGAACTATTTCTTGTCTTTCCCTCAAGTTATATCTCCTAAGCTCAGTTGGATCCACCACATTTCCTCCAGTGTCCCCTTGATTTTCAATATCATCACAGGTATTTCCGAACTGTAAAACTTGTCTCTCATTTTCCACATCTTGACTATCTTCTTCTTGATCATTTTGTACTCTATCATCATCTTCTTCTGCTCGTTCTCTCACAGTAAATATTTTTCTTGCCTCTTCTGCTGGACCATTCACATTCTGTTCATTCTTGAATAAAATATCCCTGCTGTACCCTATTTTTTTTCTCTTCTTGGTACCATACTCTGAAACCTTTGGTTTCTTCAGAATATCCAACAAAAACGCCCTTTTTACTCTTAGCATCCCATTTTTGCCTGTTTGCTTTAGGTATATGAGTATATACTTCTGTACCAAATATTCTGAAGTAGTCAATTTTGGGTTTTGTTCCATGCCATAACTCAAATGGAGTTTTTCCCTCAATAGAACTCGTTCCTGTTCTATTCAATACATGTACCACTGTATTAACTGCTTCTGCCCAAAATGTCAGATCCATTTTTTTGCCATAGAGTATTGTTCTTGCTGCTTCTATGATTGTTCTCAAATCTCTTTCAGCTGACCCATTTTGTTCTGGAGTGTAGGGTACTGTCTTCTGATGTATTATTCCATTTTCATCAAGAAAAGTTGATATGTCCTTATTCACATACTCGGAACCATTATCAGAACGTATACATTTCACTGTTTTCTCTAACTGTGTTCTTGAATAATTGATAAAAGACTTCAGCTTATCTTTGACTTCAGATTTCGTTTTGAGGAAATATACAATACGGAAATGAGAATAGTCATCTTTGAACAACAAGAAATATCGTGAACCACCCAATGAAACATTGTACATTGGTCCACAGAGATCGGTGTGAATCAATTCTCCAGGAGACACACTTTTCGTGAAACTAGTGGAGAATGGTTGCCTATGTTGCTTTCCCAACTGACAAGCATCACAGAAAAAATCTCGGCTACATTCTGTATATTCAATTTTATTTTCTTTGAGAAAATTTCTCACCTGACGAATATTTTGGTGTGCCAGACGTTCGTGCCATATTCGTAAAGATTCAATAACTGCTATGTTTGCTTTTGGGGTTTCAGGTTCTTTTCTGTCTTCTTCAGATACTGGGTTAATCACTTTGAATAATAGCCTGTACAATCTTGATTGTCGAACTCCAATAGCTACAACATTGGTATTCATCATGAATCTGCACTCCTTTTCATCCGATATCATCTTAAGACCCTTATCCAGAGCAGTACCTGTTGAAAACAAATTAAGTTTAATTTTTGGCACATATAGAACATCAGACAAACGTCGTTTAACCCAATTCCCGTTCACAAAGCTCAAAATGTTGATGTCTCCTCTTCCTTCTGCTTGGATAATCTCTCCATTGCCAACTCGAACTGGCAAAGATTGCTGGAAGACTACGTAATGAACAAACCATTCCCTCCTACTCGTCATATGGTCGCTAGCCCCTGAGTCCACGAACCAATCGTCTGCAACATCCTGTACGTTTTCATCAATAGATCGTGTTCCACTTGTTCCAACAAATGCTTCAAAATTATCCATCCCTGCCTCGACAGGATTCGCCTTCTTTTCTCTAACTCCCTTACGAAGAAAACAGCTTCTTGCCCAGTGCCCTGCTTTGCCGCACACATAACATTTACCTGGCTTCCTTTTAGGATGTGTTTCATCTTCATGGTCAATTCTTGAAGAATCGGGATTTGATCTCCATTTTCCCGCTGCCAAAGCAGCTGGTGACTCAAATGATGATGATGATGATGCAGCATTGTTCTGTAACATGATAATTCTGGATTCTTCTAGTAGTAGCCTTGAAGTCAAATTATCTAAATTTCTTCTATCCTCCGTTGTTGATTCCCAGGCACTGTAGAAATGGCTATACTCAGTAGGTAAAGTCATCAGAATTTTTGTGATCATCATTGAATCTGGTATTGGCTCCCCCAACTGTTTGAGTTGCTGACCAAGAGATTCCAATTTTGAAATGTGTGTAGCCATGTCATCAGAAGAACTTTTGATATAGCTATAAAACTGTTGCTGCACTAGATGTAAACTCGCCTCTGATTTTTGCTCATATATCCTGTGTAGCTTCTCCCACATTTCATTTGAAGTATCGCAACACATTAAATGCTGAAGCGGCTGCTTCTCAACTGATATTACTATCAACTTCTGTGCTTTCGCATCTGCTTTATTCCACCTACTTAATTCGGTCATGTATTGTCTCCTCTGTACCTCTGCTTCTCCATCCCCGATCTGATTAATTGGCTCCACTGGCTTGTGACATGATCCTGTCACAATTTCGAAAATGTCAGCAGATTTGAGGATGACTTTCATTTGGAACTTCCATTCTGCCCAATTCCTCCCGTCCAGGAGTTTATCCATCTTGACTTCGTTATTCTCCATGTTGCAGCCCTACTTTT